CAAAATGCTGTGCCAACTATTATGCTGTGGCCATGAAATGTATTTTTAAGTACAATGCATTAAGACAACCACTTTAACCACTTTTGTTTTAGAGTGAGGCACCGAGCAAGTTAAGAAAACTAAGGACTTTCAATTCTATATTTCTTTACATGAAACTGCAAAAAACGATGCAGCACACACAATTTAAAGATCATAAACTGTTAATTTTTAAAAGTTATTTACTAACTTCAATCAAAATCCAAAATAAAAGATATGAAGATCCAGAGGTCTTCAATTGAAAATAATGGCTAGATATTCAAAACCAAGAAAGTCACATTAAAGTTTTGAAATTCATGCATTTGTTGCAAAGAAAGGTAAGAAAAAAAACAAAGAAAAAGAAAATAATTCACTAAAGCCTCGTGCATGTATAAGGAGAAAAATAAAATTTCCCAAAATTCTTTAAATCTCTCACTTGAGCAAAAAGAGTTGGCTACATTCAACATAAAAAAAATTATTCAAGACCCAACTGATGTTACCATACATGCCTAACACCCCAACTATTATTACAAAAGCTAATAGAATTCCCTCTCCAGGGGTCATAACAGAAACATAAAATAGCGTAAGAATTGATTGCCATAGCTTCCATAACCCTAAAGCAAATGAAGTAAAATAGCCATAACCTGATAACAATGGAAGGAGGATTGTATGATCCAGACAACTGGGGAAATACCACAGATAAAGTGGCAACCAAAAATGGCAAAAATCAGAGCTGCATAAGCCACCACATAAACATAGAACCTAGGATCACAAAAAACTGAAAATAATGTGCATGATGTGCTAGATATAAATCTTAACGGATGAGCAGAAAGAAAGAAGAATTCAAGTTGCTGTTCAATGGTTCATTGCATAAATTCAAATAAGATATCCAATTAGTTGCATTACTTCATATGATTTAGATTTAAATGAGAATTTGACTTTTAACATGACACAATGGCGAAAAAAGATTCATGTAGCTGACCCCACGTAGTGGGACAAATGTTTGATGTTGTTATTGTTGTTGTACTCAATTTTAGGTTTAGCTTCATGAACATATCCTAAATAAAGGCTGCAGTGCAAATATAGATTTAACAAATTTGATTTAGAGTTATATTTAGCATAACTATAAGTATTTTATATAAATATAATACATAATTTAAGAAAAATTCATGAATAGTTTACTCAATAAGATCAAATTTTGATTATACATGATATTGAGGTTGTTACTTCTTTAGTAGATTTTACAAGAGATGATAATATTTTTTCTTCAAGAATTCTCTTCAATGGAGCAATAGTCCTAAAAGGAGAGAAATTCAGAATCAACAAAGCCACTGAAACAATGTAATATCCAAACACTTCTTGAAAAACAAATTACAGCAAACTTAATTAAACCAATAACAAAATCAAACCAATAACAAAACTTTAGAATAAAAAAAACTGTACACGGAAATAACTCACCAAAAGGGCTCATGCTTGTACTAAGAGAGAACAAAATCTTGAAGAATTTCACTTGCTCAAGTAGTTTACTTTCTAAAGTAGAAGGGATACCACATATAACTAAAATTTTCATTCAATAGCCTAAGACCGACATTTATAATTACAAAATCCAATAGAATTCACTATGCATTGATCATAATAGAAATAGAGATATTTTAGAAGAGTCGTCATTCGAAAGAAAATTTGTTAAAGCTCGACAATAAAAGGAGGGACGCTCAATCCTAATAACAAGGGACAGATAAAAAGTAACAAAAGAATATTAAATGGATGATAAGGTGGCCACCAAATGGTGCAGAATAATTCGTATGGATAGAGTATTACATTTGATTTATATCAATAAAAGTTGCAAATAAAGAGTAGAAAAAACCACCAAACAAAAAAATCATAAAATATCAATAATAGAAGCTACTAAATAAACGAGTACCACAAATCCCATTGGAGCCCAATAAATCAATACTTAACTACAAATACAAAAGTAGACACTTAATCAAAATACTTATAATAACATCATATAGAATTCATGCATAAGAATACACAGCATGTTCAACATAAAATTAAAGATCGAAAGACTATAATTAGTAAGGGCATAACACTTGCAAAAGAACAAAGAAAAAAAAAACATTTGCCCATGACTCAAAACAACACTAACAAAAACAACCAAGAACTATTACGCTCCAATATGACCATCTATTTTTCCAATGAAACAATTAGAACAAGTAAAATCTGAAGAGAAAAGTTGCACTATATGTCAAATTACCATAAAACAAAAAACTTAATGCAAGAAAGCTAGGAAATCATAATCATCATCACCATTAATAGCTTCATCCCAACCATTGAGCGCCAGCTTATGAATACTCATTTCCACTAGTTATGCTCATTGTTAGATAAGTTTTAAACCTATATTAGGAAAATATTTTCGAAAAACAATTGTCCAAGTTATCTTTAGTCTACCAATTTTTCTTTCTAATATCTTTAGTCTACCAATTACATTAAGCTTACCTACTCTCTTATTGGTGCATCTTATGCCATTTGTCACATATGCCCAAACCACCCAAAATTTTATTTTCCATTACCATAACTTCAATAGATGTTATCACTATCTTTAACAAAATATAATCATCTTAGCATTCTCATTTTTCTGACACAATCCGTCTATAAATAACTTGTTTATTATTTGACACTCTAATCTATACAACATGGCTAGCTTAAGTATAGTTTCATACATTCAAGTCTCTGCAATATTATTTTACTGCACAATATTCGGGAGGCAAATATTTATTTTGTCTTGAATGGTATAAAATTTGTTTTATGATTCCAAATAGAGAACAAGGCTATCAGCAGTGGGCAGCCTCATGTTAAGTTTCAGTTTAACTAAATAATAGCTTTAGGTTTATAATCTATGAAAATTTTTTGACAAGTGTTTTAAGAAAACCACAATGTACAATCTAATCATTCTTATACATTTTGCCTGCTTACTAAAGCTCCATTTAAGACTGCTTTCTAAATCAACTTTTCGAGTAAGAAAGCTGCCTCAGATGCTTGAAATTCTAGAAGGGGCATATTTCTGAACCTTTCGAGTTTAAAAACTTAGCATACTTTTACTTAACAATGAGGCTTAATTCTGAACTGCTACTTCCTTAAGTTGGTTAGTGTGGCAATTTTATCCCATTCTTCAAAAACTGTGGGATGAAACTAAACTCTTCTAAAATGATATATATCTTGATTAGCCCTACTACCTTTTATTAACTAAGGTGATGTACCTTTCATCAAATGTTCCATGTTGGCTTTCATACTTATGATGTTTTTCTTATCAATTTTCTACATAATTATTTTCTGAAATTGTGAAAATTGATTTCCTCTAATGTTCATATGATTAGCATGGGTCCAATTATCTATTGCATTAGCTTGGAATAGTACTGACATGATGAAGTATGTTATTATTATGAAAATATCATGCTGTTGTGATTTTAATTTGTACAAAGGGTATAAAACGTATCAAAACTACGGTAGATAAAATTAATGTTTAATGATTAGTGATGTAGGGCATCTTAATCTAACTTGAGGTGAAAAAAATCATGCAACAAGCATGTTAATTTAATTGTACTTTGATAACTATTATATACTTTGAAAAACATTAAGAGCACGGTGAAAATTTTTCGGCATAGTAAGCTCAAAATAATATTTAGCAAGACCTAATCAAGCTGTATAACCTTATGAAATATTGGAGCAAGCACCCATAAAACACAAGCTCTAACTAAAATATTTTCTAGAAGAAGGATCAATAAATTCTTTATCTTAAAGTCAACAATGGCATGCTGCTTCATAACCCTTGCTTTGTGATGATCATATAAGTTCATTATTATGCTAAGCTAATGAAAGAGCTAGGTTAGATAAGGCTACCGCCATGTTCTCAGCATAAACATGTCATATGTCAAAAAAAAAAAACACACACACACACACAGAATGTTCAATAAACATGAATAGCTCAATATAAGCCAGATCATGAAAATAATGTATCTTAATAAGATAGCAGTTCAACCAAAAACCAGCCGAGAAAAAACAAGAAATAAAGATTTCCGCATTGGTTACATCAATAACACAAATCAAGCTTTACTTAAAAAGTATAAAGCAGCACATACAAAAAAATCACAGAATGCTGCACAATGTAGCATTTAAAAATATAAATTCAATGAAAATACTTGTCAACAGAAATAAATGTAAGCATACGTTCTTTAAATTAATAGTACAATTTTATGTCTAAGCACCTAGAACTTAAAAAAGATGGTGGGGAAACCTACAATGATATATGGCTCAGAATGCTGGTTCCTAAAGAGAAACACAAAATAAAGTTGAGTGTTGCAGAGAAGAGGATGCTCAAGTGGATGAGTTGTTTTACACTCAGAGACAGAATACGAAACGAGCACATACGTGAAAAAGTTGGAGTGACTCAAGTGGCAGATAAGATTAGAGAGAGTTGCTTTAAATGGTTAGGTTACATGAAACGTCGGCCTTCCAATGACCCAGTTAGGAGTAGATGTATTAGATCAGGCCTATATTAAAAAAGTTAGAGGTAGACCTAAAAGTCTCGGTTAGAAAGCATTAGAAATGATATTTTTATTAAATTTAAATAATAACTTGACTCTTAATAGGAGACAATGGAGAAAAAAGATTCATGTAGACCCTACTTATTAGGATAAAGACGTGGTGTTTAGAACTTATGAAATCACAAAAGTAATTATTTCATAAAAAACTTCAATAACATAATTAAAAAATCTAATTAGCATTACAAAATGTGATAAATTATCAATCCCAACAAATAACAAAGAGTGACAACTAACAGTTGTAGCAAAATCCATAAGTAGAAGACTTATCATATACTTTATGCCGATTAAAGGAAAATCAAAATGAAGGATTATGTTTACTTTCATGAGTAAGCGCACATGAACTTCAATAAATAAAGAAATATAATATAAACTACAAGGTTGATAGGACTAAGAAGATCAGAACTAGCTGATATTTCAGGTAAATACAATTAAGAAAACGTCTATCATCTAAAAGGTTTCTCAATCAAATAAAATCAATGAGTTCAATCATAAAGTTACATACAAGTATTTAACAAAAGCCTTCGTCTAGTTAAATAGCTACGAATTGATTGCTGAGCTGAACCTGTCATAAAAGCCTCCATACACCTTACTCCTTCAAGGTTAGTCAAATTTCAAGATGAAGAAAGACTGCCAGCTTTGCCTAAACCAATAATCACACTTTTTTTTAAAACGCTTTCAACTGATCTACTCCTCTCTATTTTCTATTGTCAAAGCAGATTACAATCACGATTGCTACAATGCCCAAGATATGATGATTCAGAAACTCGGATCTATAAAATGGAATAAAGAAGATGAAGCATTTACCAACGCAGCTTCATTCAATGCCAATAATCTACATCTCCCTCCATCTAGGGCTAAGCAAAGGAAGGAACCCAGAGGGTGAAGGTGGAAACAAATAAGTCGGAGAAGGCGGCGGCTGAAACCCAGGCCCTTGACCCAATATTCCTGACTGGGGCAATGGTGAGAAGGAGAAATCAGCAGTGAGATGCGTTGGATACTGAAACCTGGGAGAAAGCAGCGGATAGGGCGATTTGGGCGAAAGAAGATTCAAAAACGAACTTGGTGACGGTAACGGAAACTGTGAGTTCGGAGATGGCAAGGGAAACGGGGCGCCTGGAGATGGAAGCAGAAACTGCGATCCTGGAGACAGCAGTGGGAACTGTAATCCTGGAGACGGCAACATGGCCGGCTGCGAAGGCGGCAGCGCTGAAGGGGGAGGGTTTCCCCTGGGCGAGGGGAAGGAGCCAGCTGCGGTTGCTTTAGGATGAGGAAAATGAGGTAGGCCCTGGGCGCGAGGCTGCGGCTGCCTGGAACCATCCGATGCTAGAAGAGAACTCTCAAGGTACCTCATGTAAGCGGAAACAGGCGAGTCAGTCCAGACAGCGCTACCAGGAGCAGATGGCGATGGCGCTGGACGATGGTAAGCAGGATTCGGATTGAAATTAGGGTTAGGGTTTGGTAGCTGATTCTGAAAAGGAGGAGGCGGCGGCGGACGAGCGATCGGGGTAAGTGGAGGCGGTCGAATCTTCATAAGCCGCGAGCTGGGATGCTTCGGCTGCGGCGGACGGGCCGGCACCGGCAGGTATCCGGCTCCACTCGCATCCCTGGCGGGGCTCCCGGTTAGCTGCTGTACGACGCTCCGGAAGTCACTTTTGCTGATGTTGTACACCTGGGGTTGCGGCGGCGGAGCCGACTGCTGCAGGTGAAGCGCCGCCGGCGGAAGCTTCTGAAAATTGGTCTGGTGAAGAGGGCTCTTGCGGATGTTCCTTCCGAGCTTGTTGATACCGAGGTGATGCTGACTCTTGGAATTTTGATCCATCTCTATCCAAGCAGGAGATAAATCCGTTCAAATTGAATCGACCTGCTCCTCTAATATCAGGCAAAGGGAATAGCGGAACAGGGTTTCATAGATTTGAGAAGATTGAATTGTTCCGTGGGCATGAAAGAGAGAAGCGGGTAGAATATGAAAACAGGGCACGGCGTTTGACCTGCGACGGGCTGTGAAACCCTAGAGAGAGACAGAGAGAGAGAGAGAGAGCAAATCGTGAAGTAAGGAGTAGTTGTGACTAGGAACTCGTGGGTAGTAAAAGAAGTTGACCGATATAAGCAGTTAACGCGTTGAGGTAGAATTTTAGGGGCACTATGTGACCGAATGACGAACTGGTGCCCGAAGTTTTATGCGATATTTCTGATCTAACGGTCAGCGTCTCTTTGAAATCTTAACCAGTTGGATTAAAATGTACGATCTCTCAAAGAAGGCGATTTTGCGCCGGCGGGCAGAATCGGGTGGAAGCGGCTTCGCCGTTAGTCGACATTTGATTAAATTTGATAGAGAGGGAAGAAGTAAAGGATGGCGTACGCGTACACATTGGAAATTTGTCGAAGAATTTTAAACTGGGATCTAATCAGATGGAATTGACTGGCCCATGGACTGCAAGGGCAGATTCGTAATTTTATTTATCTATAAATATCTGAGACAACGTATTTAAAGAAGCGAAATTTTTAAAAGGAACAGTCATGCCGTATTATAATGGAAAAGCAACATAACAAAGATCTTGAAGGGATCAGAATCTCAAAATTATACTCCGATTTCACATAAAAGGCAAAATGAAAATTGGTTTTTACAGAAAACTGAAATTATTCTAACATTTTCTGATAGCAATGCATTTTCTTTTCGGTTTTATTATAAAATAGAGTTTAACTTCACCTTTTATATAAAGGGTGCAAACTAGAAGCAAACTCACGAGTCTGTTCGAACTCGACTCGTTAACAAGCTCTTGAAACGAGCTTATCGAGTTTCGAACTTGACCTCAAGCTCAAGTAGATTTTCGAGCTTGTTGAATTATCGAGCTCTAGTTCAATTGAGATAAAGCTCGATTTGATTACTTGTCGAACGACTCAATTGCGGAAGGTAGAAGAGTGGAAACACGGACGCAAAAGCGGCAGTGCAAACTTGGTCACGTAGAAATGCAAAAGCAGGATCAGGATCAGAGCGGGAAGAGTACGCCTCACGAGCTCGCATTCATCGCGACTAGTCGAGCTCAAGCTTGACTTTGAGCCACAATCTTACAGATGACCCGAGCTCAAGTTAAGCATGACTCAAGCTCGACTCGACTCGTTTGCACCTTCATATAATATTTTTGCACCAACATAACACAACACGCATAAAATCACATTAATATGCATGGAAGGGAGTAGGAATGATATATATATGATATTAACCTACATCAATAAGTAATAATATATATGATGTATCAACATTTATAGACATGTATCAACAACTGATATCACATTGATATTGTTTGTACTAACCCTTTATATGATTATTGATTATTGGTTATTACGTTAGATTAGTTTCATTGATATAAATTGATATTTTGCTCGTATTGATTGTCACATAATCTTTTATTGTTTCAAGGAGAAGTGAAGAATAAGAGGGGGTTCTAAGGATTGATAATAATGAAATGATGTGCAATATTTATGTAGTCATCTATTATTGATGGACGATAATATCCCATCCTTTTAATCTTTATTTTCATTTTGGCACCTTATTGGTGAGCACCATATAATCCAACATGAACTTTTTCTATAATGTCTTTAGCTTCTAATTTACTAAGACATTGTAACCACATATGATCGAACGATTAGTAAGTATAAGATAGGGTTCTTTTTATTTGATCCTTAATTGATTTATTTCAAGGAAGCTTATTTTCGTGTAGATCATCAATTAAGGGTTTTCGTCCAATCTATTGCCTCATCTTCTATAGAGAAAATAATTTTCACCTCAGTTATAGGGCTTCTATTTATGTATTCCATATCAATGGGTGAGAAGACCATGTGATCTTGTACCCCTCTTAGAATTGAGACATCTTCAGGATAAGCTAACTCATTAGCAAGCTTTATTAAGCCTTCCTTTATGGCATTTCCTTTGTATGGACGTTCCATTCATATATTATTAGATAGCGCATAATTGCAAAGAAAAATGTTTGAGTTGTGCTCTTAATAATCTCCATAGACTTTGATTTTGACTTATGTATTTAATTTAATGCATATTTGATAAAGTTAACTATATGATTGTGGAATCAATTCTTACTAACTCTACACCCTAAAATTTATTTTAAAAAAAATATTTATTTCAAAATATATGGAGTATTGTCAAATTTAATTTAAAATAAAGGCATTTTATTTCAAAATGTTTAATATGGAATTTATTTTTTTCCTTTTTGCTTTAGCCGTTGAAGGGCTTTCCACGTGGATGTAGTTTAGGAGGGGCTTTAACTATGCTTTAAACCCCACTGGGCTTAGGTGGGTTGGTGGGCGTGCTTGGATGAGAACCCCCCATCTCAAGTTCGAATCCCTTCTCATACGGCACGACTCCTTAAGTGGAGAGAAAAGAACTGTGGGTCCTACACCTATGGGGTTGATTGCTGATAGACTCGGCGAGGGATTAGTGGAGATCTTCAATCGCGTCACAAGCTAACGTGGCAGCGGCCCGATACCCCCTTCCAAAAAAAAAACTATGCTTTAAAAGCATCTAATCTGTTATTACTGTCAAACATTGTGGATAAGGTTTATATTTGTTACGACATAGATAGACAGCTCTTCAAATGGACAAGCACTATAGATAATATGGTAAGAATCACCAATCATTAAAGGAAAGGATGGGTTGTTCTTGTGGCCCGCATCGACAGGCATAGGCATATGAGAAACTGTGATGGGCTATCGCCAATGATCAACTGTAAAATAGATAAATTAAAAGATAAAAAAAATAAATAAAAAAATCAATGTAAAAAAATGTACAGATAATTTTAAATAGAATATTATTGTCATCACATATTTCATTATAGTTTGATTGTGAAGAATTTTACAATGAGGCAAAAATGATCTTCGCACTGAGAAAAAATTTTTGAAGTATGAAAATAATTTTAAAGGATAGTACCTATAAAGTTCATCTTAAGTCTCTTGGTTAAAAGGTGAGACCTCTAATAAAAAAGTCTTAAATTTAAGACTTGTACTACGACATGCTTAGACTTCTAATACCCTGTGTATGCTTTTGCTTATGAAATTATTATTGTTGGTAAGATTAGAGAGAGTCGAAGATAAACTTGAATTATGTAGGTCAACTTTAGAGTCTAAAAGCTTTCATTTGTGTAGATATAAAATTGAATATATGATGTTTAATTCCAATACTAATAGATCTAGTGGGAGGATTGTGATTTTAGGTGAACAAGTCATTAATAAGAGTACACGTTTTCGATATCTTGGATCTATTGTTCATAGTGATGGTGAATTAGATGGGGATATTATAAGTAGAATTCAAGTTGGATGATTGAAGTGGAGGAATGCATCGGATTTTTTTGTGTAATAGAAAAGTCTCACTCAAATTTAAAGAGTAAAATCTATAAGATGATGGTTAGATCTACAATGCTTTACAGTGCAGAATGTTGACCATTAAAAGAGAAGCATAATATTAAGTTAAGTGTTGTATAGATGAAAATACTCAAGTGGATGAGTGACTTTACTCTTAGAGACATGATACGAAATGAGTATATATATACATGAAAAGGTTGGAGTAGCTTCAATGGAAGATAATATTAGAGAGTTCGTCTTAGATGGTTTTGTCATATAAAACGGCGGCTTTCCGATGACCCGGTTAGGAAAGTAGATGTATTAGATTTGACTTAGTTAAGAAAGGTGGAGAAAGACCTAAAAAGACTTGGTTAAAAATTATTAGAAATAATATTCTTTTATTAGATTTAAATGAGAATTTAACTTTTATTAAGACACAATAGAAAAAAAAAAAGATTCATGAAGCCAACTCCACAAAAGTAGGATAAAAACTTGTTGTTGTTGTTACTCCATGTAGCTCACCTTGATCTATTGGTTGAGAGCTTTGACAACCAACTAAAAGGTTTTGGGTTTGAATTTCACACAAGTTATGTGCGTATAAATTCGCCTTAATTAGCCTAAATGTTCAAAAAATAATAATTTAGTCCTAAGTTTTCTGATAAATTTCAAAAGTTCAGCTCTTCTAAAATTATTCAAAAATAGAAAGAAGAACCTCATATAGCTCATTATCCGCCAAATAAAGGCAAGAAAGCAGTTCTTCAGGATGCAACTTTAAAAGCTTCTGCTAGTAAGCTACAAAAGAAACCCCTACTAATATAATTGCTTTTAAAAGTAACCCTCCTGCTTGGATTTTAAAGAATTATATGTAACAAGGATAATATTTCTAAACTCAACTGCTAAGAAAATTTTATTAGCATTTTTATAAACTAAAAAATAGTTTAATTTGCTTCGTTTAAGGTTCTATGTATTTCCCTATTATTTGCTACAATGCACCTGGCAAATCTATATGTTCTAAGAGATTTGATGGCTGCTTCTACAAGAAAGATGGGCATTGAAGACTTTCATTTTGATTGAATTGCAATAAGCTTAAGTGTTTGAATGTTAAGAAACTGATAAGCACTGCCTGAATATTGATGCGGTTGAATACTTTAAAAAACAAAAGGTTCGTACCTTTTTATAGTATATGTTGAACTTCGTTGCGGTGTCCTGCATAAAGACGATACAAAGCAGTATGGAGAATAATAATAGTGTTAGAGAAATAGTGAATTCATTCCGTCCATTATTGTAGCCAATACTAAGTTAAATACATTAGGAGCTTTGCTATAGAAGCAGAGGCGTTTACAAAATAAAGGCCCAGATGTTTTTGTTAATCAGCAACGAAGAGGATTGAACAGAAAAGTTGGAGCTGGCAGCAGCAGAGAAAATGGAAAAATATATTGAGAGTTAGTGTAGATTAAATTGAAATCTTTGCTCAAACTGCAAAAAATGATCAATTTTACAGTTCTTTTATCATTTGCAGCTAATAAGAATTTGAAGGCATAATAATTCGATATGAATATGTCTGCTAAATAACTCATTTAGATGAAGAAATATATATGGAGTTCCCATCAGAATTTAACTCATAGAATTAAAACATAATTTAACTCAAATAGAGAATTAATACAATTTAAAAAATATATAGCGATAAGATTTTTTTTATATATATAAATTTTATCTTTATAGGCCTTAGAGTACACCTTGATAGATTTTTTTTTAAATAAAATACTTTGCCAACGTAAGAACAGGGATGATATGTTTGTATTTTATGATACGGGCTCAGATACTTTTAAATACTTACAGAAGGCAGAAAATTTTTGTTTTTATTCAATTACATATTTAAATTCAAAAATGTTCAAACTTATTTAAGATGCTTTGATTTTAAAATTCAATCGATGTTTGATCCGAAACAAATATTCTAAAATATAAAAAAAATACAAACAATAGATATACAGACAACTTTTATATATAAAAAAAGATGCCGTACAATTCAGTATGTTTGCTACTTCCCTAACTAACCGATCCATATATATATATATAACACAATTAGAAACTGGTTACTTTAAACCCTAATGGAATATCTTTTTTTTTTAATTTAAAGTCATCGAGTTATGTACGTAAAAACCATTATCCTCAAATCCAATCTTGCAAACCATTATTAGTCATCGAGGTATGTACGTGATAATTCGTGATTATCGAGTCATATATATTATTAGTCATCGAGAATGTACGTGAAAACCATTATCCTCCATAGTTAATCAAATATATGATCCAATCTTCTCTTCAATTGATCTTCTTGCGTAGAATATTAAGGTCTATGACTATTTTATCCTATTGGATAGTGCGATTATACTATTTGTATTCTGACCCCGCTAGTAGCATCCTTTCAGAGACCCACAATATATTTAGATGCCCCTCAAATCCACTCTTGTAATGAATTCGTGGGTTGCACTAGTTAAACCCAATACTTATATGTAATGAATTTTCAAGCTATTTATAAAATTTGAAATCAAAGGCTGAATGGTTCTTATCTTTTGGGATGTGATTTAAATTTAGATTAAGGTAATCCAATGCCTCAGTTACGAAAAATCTATAAATAGTTGCTCTTGGGGATGTAATTTTCATCATTTGGCTTAATAAAAATATCCTTTTCAATTTTCAATATTGTAACTACAAGTTGGATGTGTGACTCCTTTAAATGCAGTACATGAACTACACATTAGAGCTAGATTTTGGAATCTAATCATTCTTCATCTCTTATAACACATAAACCATCTTAACACACTTTTAATTGCTTCCTAAACTTTGCATTAAGCACATATTTAAAAATGAAAATGATCCCTTCAAGAATTAATAGCAAATGTAAAAATATGAAATATGCTAGACTAGTAATTCAGTATATTTTGGTTGAGCCAAAATAATTTCCCAACGCCTTACATCAATTTTTCGATATTGACAAAACTTCTACACTCCAACAATCTTTTATTTGTCAACCTAAAAGAAACATAAAGATCTAGGTAAACAACTTAATGCATACCTGAACTAGCAAGCAAATGGTGTTTTAGAACATGATTAGATGCCTCCAAAATCTATCCTCCTTGCTCCTCATCCTCATCCCCTCTTTTCCTACATCAAGAGCAAGAAATGACCTCCTTTTACTGGTTTTCCCCTTTGATATTCTCTTTAGTCATTTCCTTGCATGAAAACCTTCATATTAACTTAGTATTACAGACTTCCACATGTTTATGACACTTCACCTTTGCTTAAATGAGCATGAATAAGGTAGCTTACCATTCATGTTAGTACCCATGCTTCGTTGGTTTAACTTTTTGTAAATGAGTAAGGCTTCATTTGGGACGGCTTTTTTACTGCTCTTAAAGCAATTTTTTAGTACAAAAATTAAAAGTTTTATACTAGAAAACTGCTTTAAGAAACAGTAAGAAAGCCGTCCTAAATGAAGTCTAAATCTTTATCCTTATGTACTAATATGTGCATGGTGATATTGCTGGTGTGCATCCGAGAGTACATGAGTATATAAAAGCATGCAAAAATGAACATGTCTACGATGACTATGCAAGCATACATGCATGGATATAAGGACGAAGAAATATTCATTTCAAGATTACCAAAAGGTGATTACATCATCGTGGAGGGAATGCTAGATCCTTCAATTGCTGGGGGTCTACTTTTGATGGCGCATGTGTCAATGCACATTGAGAGGTTGCAGTCTTTGGAAAAGCTATTACTTCTCTGATTGAACTTGCACCAGCCATAAGCATCACTAACCTGTCCAAACCATATGCAATCCCCCCTGTAGAACGATGCAAGAAAAGAAAATGTTAAAACTAGAAATAATACTATGCTAGGTGATGCCGGACTACACGCATGATTTAGGAACTTGCACGAAATATTTAAAGATCAATTTTAGATTTTGTTATAAGTGATTAAAAACCACAAAATAAAACTAATAAACGGTCACTTTCGCTTAGGCCAAACTACAACTGATGTCCCCATCACTAGGTGACAAATAGGACAGTATCATTTGTTTTGGAACTTAAATCACAAGTAGAACTTGAAATTTTGAAGCAAAAACAAGAGAAAAATCAACAGTAAAATGTGCATTTATTGCCATTTGATGACTATGTTTTCAGAGTTTATAATGGAAAGTAGTGATAAACTTTGACAATTGAAAGTTTTCTAAGGTCAAATTAATATTAATACTTGATATTTGTTTGATATTTTATGACCTAAACTTCAAAACTCTAAGAAAGTCATCTATACGCTATATTTTTTTTTATTCAACAACATTTTCAATTTTCAAACTCACAGGCAACGAGGTTTCTCCCCTCATCTAAATACCATTAAGAGCTTTCCTGAATCACATTGTCATATTATCATGCCAAAAATCGCATACCATGAGGAGGTGCTCCCTGATCTAGAGTTTGCAAGAAGTAACCAAATTTCTCTTCAGCCTGCACGTATTTACATTATCAAGTGAGGTTCAATTGATAATAATTAGAAATACATAAATAAAATCACTAAAAAATATAAAAGGCATCAAATTTTTAGAGGGGTAAGATTTGTTAAAATGTGAGAATAAACACATGATAGTCATAATATGAAAAGAGACATGCCCGTGAATTTAACATAACAAAACCATTGTGCTCTTTTGCTATTGGTCACACACGTAAACACAATTCACAGCAAATGAACATTAGCTCCAAAGAAGATAGTAAGAGAAACAAAGTAGAAAACAGATAATATTTTAAAATAAAAACAAATATTAAAATTTATTCAACTCTGGCACTATATAAAGGGATAAACAAACATTTTAAGTGTGGATAAAATTTTTTTTCATAATCATATTTTTTGTCATACTATACTCAAATGGCAAATCAACACCGACATAAAGTTAACATGATTTGGCTATGCAATTTAAAAGCCTATATGCTATAAAAGTATGCTTTAAAATAGCAATACAGGTTATATTTTTTCATATTTTTTGTCCTATTAATCAACAGACCGAAAATTAGGACAAGCTTCATAAAATTTTTACAATGATTTGGCTATGCAATGAGCCCATAAAGTTAGCATGTGAATAGGTCATGCTTGTCAGATAATTTTCTCATTAAATTTGTGGTGTAAGAATAGCCAGAATAAATAAATCACACACAAACTAGCCTTATTCCAACTTTTTGAGGTTGGCTTCATGAGTCCTGAAAGAGTGCTACAATGCTCCCCAAAAAAATCCAGACAAAAAAGAAACGAGGATCAACTTTGCCAAGGTGGTCCAATAAAAAGCGGAAGATAGTGCAATACACTTTTGCACACTTTTACTTCGTGATTCAGCCACCTAAGAAAAGTAGAAACCAATTTAGATTTTTGTGTCGTTTTCTTTGGGATATATATACACTACTCTTTGACTAATTTTATTTTTACAGCTATTATTTTATAGTTTCTTAAAATCACATTGTTTATTGTCATCTACAACAGGAAAACTACTAAAAATTTTAAAAACTTTCATTAAATTTAAGCATTTATCATGTTTGTGAAAAAAAAAAAACAAGGATGATCAGATGAAATATGGAATCCCTCTTAATGGTTCTATTTTATCATGTATTTCACTAACTAAAATAATCATAAACACTCTAAATATCATCAGCAATATCCTAACCATTTAAAAGCCAGTATGCTTTAAAATTGCAACTATCTTCTCATTCAACCAAGTCATCCATTCAAAAAATTTTAATGCATATATTTAATGATCAAACAATCTTAGAAAGCTCTTTAAATCATTCATGCCCATATCTAACTCAATAGTGCATTACATATAGCATCTAAATTTAAATGAAAACACAAAACTTTAGACACCAGAACTAGCCAGAAAATTGGCAATCCTAGGTAATATATCAATAATAATCAAGTAAATGTCTAAAAAAAAAAATTTATTAAGAATGGCAGAAACAAAAAATGTTCCTCTGTTCTCTTGCTTATGCATCTAGAATAATCAAACAATTTTAATCAGCGCACTGATCAAACCCATAGCTTTCTGATGTAGGCAAAGGGGGATCAAAACAAGTTGGGTGTTTTTTTTGTGAGCTTTAATTTCATCAACTAAAAATCAGCTCATAAATGCTTTCTAACTACTTAATTCAGCTCATAAATTATCTTTATTTGGTTTATTCCCCTTTTCATTTGTCTCTTTGGTTTCTTCCCTTTGCCTTTTCGATTTCTGTTGGCTGTTGGTGTTCCCCTGGTTCTTCCTCTCGATTTTCCCTTGCTGGTTGGTTTCCCGTGTCTTGCCCCTTTGTCTCCTGTGCTGGCTTTTCGGGTCTCTTGCTAGCTGATTTCCTGTGGTTGTTTGGGGGGGAATTCGGTGGCCACTTCCCTGTTTTCTGTGCAGTTTTCCTACTGCAGTTTTTGCTGTCCCGTGAAGAATTTCTGCTGGCTGTTTGGGAATGTATTTGGCTGATTTTTAGGGACCTTTCAGCTGCTGTCTTTTGACCTTCTATTTGGTGACTTTTGGTCTTCCATATTCCCTAATATAGTGGCTGTTTAGCTTCTTTCTTTTCTTATAAATAGGAGATGTTTTGTATGTTTAAAGGATGTTATGTGAGTTATTTTTGGGTAACCTAAACCTGCGGGTTTCGTCGTGGAAAAGCTCGAGAGCTTGTTCCATTCCTTCCTTCTCCTAGGAAAGCTTGCAAGCTTGTCTTCCTCCTTCGTCTCGGCTTCTATCCTCTTCTTTTATCCGCAAGTTCGACTCCACATGTATCCTTCTTCTCAAAGCAAAGCAATTTTAAGTGTTTAAGTTGTCTTTATGTCGTCAAAGTTTGTAAGTGTCTTGTAAGCGTCTTTTCTAATATTAAAGTTTGTTTTTGTTGTAATTTGTCTATTTTGGAGCAATCTTTGTAATTTTTATTACCTAGGAAAGTCTTTCATTTGCTTGCAAAAATTTGAGACCCTTCTCAAATTTTTGCTCGCATCAATTTGGTATCAAAGCATGGTTTGTCGAGTGAGTCTTGGTGTGTCATGATAGTTGTGTGAGTGTCTTGCTTTGTGTCTTCCAAAGTAGTTTATTTCGTGTTTTTCTTCTTGTGTTCATAAAAAAAATGAAAAAAACAAAATGAAGATGAGCCAGAGATCGAAGAATGCAATCCAGAAAATCTTGAAGACTCAAAACCAATGGACAGGTGGATTCCAACAGAAAGTGATTCAACGAATCCACTACAAAATGAACTTTACAAGATACAGAGATGGATGAGCTTATGCGATGAGAAATTCGAGAAAAGGAAGAAATTTCTGCAAGCCCAATTCAAGCAAGAGCGAGATGAAATCCTGAAGAAGTATGCGACAAAGATTCAAGAGCTTGAAGCGCCTTAATTGCCTCCTCAGAAGAAATCTAAAGACAATTCATCGGGAGATGACCTCTTTCAATCGGAGGAGAATCTGATGTAGGCAAAGGGGGGGTCAAAACAAGTTGGGTGTTTTTTTTTTGTGATCTTTAATTTCATCTACTAAAAATCAGATCATAAATGCTTTCCCACTACTTAATTCAACTCATAAACTATCTTTATTTGGTTCATTCCCCTTTTCTTTTGTCTCTTTGGTTTCTTCCCTTTGCCTTTTCGGTTTTTGTTGGCTGTTGGTGTTCCCCTGGTTCTTCCTCTCGGTTTTCCCTTGCTGGTTGGTTTCCCGTGCCTTGCCCCTTTGTCTCCTATGCTGGCTTTTCGGGTCCCTTGCTGGCTGATTTCCTGTAGCTGTTTGGGGGGGATTTCGGTGGCCTCTTCCCTGCTTTCTGTGCAGTTTTTGGCCGTCTTTTGGCCGTCTTCTTGGTGACTTTTGGCCTTCTAGTTCCTTCTTTTAATTAAGATATTAAATGTGTTTTAGGTGGCTGTTTGGCTGCCCTTTTCTTCTATAAATAGGAGGTGTTTTGGGATGTTAAAAGGATGGTGAAAAATATGATTTTTGGAGATAAAACCTGAGAGTTTTTGGAAAAGCTTGAGAGCTTGTTCCACTTCTTCTTCTTCTACTTCTTGGAAAGGCTTGCGAGCTTCTCCTATCTTCGTCTTGACTTCTTGCCTCCTTCTCTCCGCAAGTACCATTCCACTTGTATCTTTCTTGTCTCAAGGCAAAGCTTCTTTAGGTCAATGGATGAATGCAACTTTAGGTGTATTGTTTGAGTCGTTTGTAAGTGTCAAAGTTTGTAAGTCTTATTATAATATAAAAGTGAAGTTGTATTTTGTCTATTTCGTGTAATTTCTTTATCCTAGTAAGGTATTGTTTTTCTAGCAAAAAAATTAGGGGTCTCCTAATTTTTTTGCTTACTTTTTGCTTGCATCACTTTCAGTCTATGAAATGTACAAACTATAAAATAAAATGTTTCAATCAAAATAAATAGCATAAAAATTGATTGATAGAAATCAATGTTTCTCCCAATTTTCTTCCTTCTAATTTTTAGAATCACACGATCAACTTCTTGTCAAGGGCTTATACTGGCAGGTGTATTAATGAAAGATATTAATTACAAATAAAAAAATTAGCCAATGGAATCATAGAATGTTATACATTCATGAGAAAAACTATTGAGTTCATACAAATAAATTTGAGGCACGTACAGTCAAATAAAAAGCATGCATAGTGCATCAACTCCTCTTTGCATGGCGATGGAATTAAGAAACTAGCAATTTTCAAAAGCCGGTGCAAGTAAAAAAATAGTATAGAAATGTAAGTAGATATGGGCATGAATTAGTAGAAGATGTTAAACTTGTTTTAAGAAAAAACAATAGAACAGTAATCAAACAAAATGGCATTTCTTAAGATAAACTCTTACACTTTCCTTAGGTTAAGATTTTACCTGCCTAGGTGAAATGCCAATAGTTTCAAATACTTTCTCTTGAACCTTACGTTTGTAAATTCTCAAACTGCCCCCACCAATCTATTGCATAAACATATGAAAAGACTTCATTAGTATGATACCATCTTCTGCGTATAAGATATAGCTGCGGATACGGAGAAATCTAGACAAGAGCTCCAACCATGTAATTAAGAAACATAGCCTACCAAGGACAGACATTCATAGGCGCATTGATTTTTGTGCAGATGAAGGCACACAAATTTGCATGAATGTGAGTCGGTAAGGCAAAGAAAAAGATTAGAGAAGCTATCATAACTTAAAGTTAACTGATTGAATGGCTAAAATTCAAGACTACATAAACAAATATAAAAAAGGTTTCCCCTTGCTAATATGTGCCTTCATGGCCAATTATTTACCAGTCAAATCAACCTTATTGTTATGTTTGAATAAAGATATCAAGCATACATATTTTACTAACATCAATAATTTTAAATATAAAAAATTGCATCCAGTTAATTACACTGTTAAACTTACCAAAGATTCACATTACAATTCTATGCCAGAGAGAGTGAAGAAGAACTGTTATTCTTCACCTTTTTTTTTTTTAACTGTTATTCTTCATCATATTGTTATCATCATTAGAGAGTAGGGTAAAGCATTACCTCCTATTTTGTTCAGAAAATATTTCAAAAAATACTGCAGAAAAATTAGAACAAGCAACCTTTCAATACAGAAGATAATCATATCAAACTCTAAGGACTTAAAAAAGTGCAAATGTTAATGCCTTTGGAAGTACTAAAATAGGTGAGGTAATATATAAAAATACTGATAGTTTGGAGAACGAAAGAGAACAAGAGGGATACCTCAATTCCATTGTAGACCATGTCGTAGGCTAAAGCGCGAGCTGAAGGAAGGTCATCCATGTCTTCAGGATTTGGGGCAGTAAATGGGTGGTGAAGAGCCTGTGCGTCAAAGAAGTATAAATTATAAAAATAGAAAGGTAAAAACTTGGGCTTAAAGGAAGGTTCAATTCCATTTCAGATGATGGACCCGATAAATCTAGTTTAACTCTCGGCTCCAAGCAAATAGTGGAAGAGGCTGAAACAGGCCAGTAGAAATTATAACCTTATGATCAAGTCTCTACTATGTGCAAATCCAACATCCCACTCGTCAACCCACCATTCCCTGAAACTATGAAGTTGATAGATTAGCCTCTCTACCAGCAAATCAACCAAGTATTCCCAACTGCTACATCTCCATACATCAGCAAGATCACCATATCAACCACCATCAAGCCTTCACCATTTCTCTGCTCTCACCATCTCTTTTGCGTCTCTACCTGCAGTCTCATCATATCTTTCTCTATCTCTATTTCCCTCTCATCTATAGAATCCCGCTGAAGCTCTTCCAAGATCACCTGATCCCACTTATCAATCTCCATCTATATCTCTCTCTATTTTCTATCTCTCTAAGTTCCCTTCAATCTCTCCATTTCTCATTTTCATTTCACAACTTCACCCACCCCCCAAAAAAGCACCAAGAAACCAATCTAATTAAGCCGAATGTAAACAGTTCATAATGAATTGGCCCAAGAGCATTTTAGGAATGGTTTGCTTTAAAACGGAGAACTAAATGCTGTCTCAGCCTTTAACTTGGACCATACAACCCAACTAAATGGTTAAGTTCCAACTATAAAATATATAGTAATTAAATGAACACTATAATCATCATCTGTCAAATCAAACCTATTTGGGGTAAGACCATCTTCTGTTACATTATTGTTGAGGGCTAAATGGGGCATTAATCTAGTTTTTGAAAGTTTATTGCAGAATTTTAGCAATTTATTTTTGAGAACAATGCTTTCTAGTCCAATTCACCAAGTCTGAAAGAGATGCAATGGCAGCTTTGTAATTTTGAAGCACAATGCGGGCTATGGTGAGAGAATCAGATAGTTTGAAACATGCAAAGTATGACAGAACAAGAACTTCTATTTTTATCTAACCCATTGCCTTCCTATTTCTACCACATTAATTCTATATAATCGCCTCTATGTGGGCTCCGAAAATTTGAGCCCCGGCCTATCCGTGCCCCTTTTGTTGACGGGCAAAGTTAAAAAAAATAGGTTCCGGGGTGAATTTTCAGAAGGCGGATTGGATTTTTAGATAAGACACTATCCAGAGAATCCACCCTCATTTGACAAGGACTTTATTATCTGAGTTCTGGTTTCCTATAGGCGCAAGCCCCTATAGTTAATTACCCCTCCCAATAACAAAAGATAACTTTCGATTAAGGTTAGTTGTTGAACAAATACATAGTATCCAACGTATAGTAGCAGCAACTTTAGGATTTTAAAATTGGATTTGAGAATTTTTTTTTTAAGATTTAAATTTATCACCGTACACTTAAAACGGGTAATGGTGGAATGATGATGGGCCTGATTAAGATCACATGGTTCCATCGTCCTGGGCTATCATGATCACTAGTCTACCTAATCAGACGAGATAGTCAACCCAACCTGAGAGAAGGAAACCTTGTCGGAAGTCATGGGTTTCTCACAGATTTTTATTGGGACAATTTTGCTCATTTTCAACAAGATATAATGCCTTTTGTACTTGACCAATTATTGAAACATAATTTTTATTATTTTCCTCCATTTCAAAAAATTATAGAAAGAAAATGAAGTAAGAAAAGTAAAACTTCATATGTACTCGAGTAGTGATTCGAACCTTAATTGAAGCCAAGGAAAACTAGGAAGTGCATTGATGCAGAGGATATAATATAAATTTTTATTTTTGAGATCAATATTTGAGAAATTTTATCTTAAGTGTGTATGAATTGCTTATGTAATCACTATCATTCATGATTTGAGAGTGGCCCGAACAATTTTGTTATTTCTTTGAGTGTAAAATCTTGATGAGCTATGAAAATTATTAACTTCTTAAAGATCCTGATACCAATTTCGATCCTTAATATAATAATTTTCTCTAACTTAGGAGACTTGTTCATACAAACAATATATAGGGCCTCATTTGCATGCATTATATATTAAGTCAACTTCAAATCAAATAAGATCATTTTTTTCCTTATTTCAAATTAATTGAAATTTGTAATTTTTTTAATTTTAGCTAATTATGTTGGGGAGGGGGGGGGGGATTCTTTTGTCATTTAAAATTTCAGCAACCTCCCGACATCCCCTCCCCGCCAAGGAAGGTTGGGAAGGCACTTGCCTTGCAATCCATATGGCCGAATCAAAGATTCGACGGCCGAGGGCACAATTGGTCATGGCACAAGTCTTCCAGTCTTCAATTGCTTGCGGTACCTGTCTCTTTTTTTTTTAACACTATACTCTCATATACTCAAGTCAGCTGAAAATAGTGGGATAGTGGTTAATTCAGTCGGAGCAGGAGACTTGCACGAGATTGGGTCGAAGGCCACGCGTGGCACCGGGTTAAGCCGGTTGCAGAAGCGGGATGAATCACATATGGTGTGGTTGAGGGAGACAGGTTGCGGGTTGGCGATGGGAGGCTGGCTCGAGCAGGACGGGTCGCACGAGAGAACGCAAGGGCTTGGCTCGAGTCAACCTAGGAGGGATTCTTGCGAGCAACTAATGGAGACGAGAGGGAGCAATAGTTTGGCTCATGTGTGCAGCTGAGGGAGATCCGGAGAGAGGGAAAGGAACGTGTTATGGGCTTCAGCTTCAGGTGTACAGCACAAATAAATGAGAGGGAAAGATCGAGAGTGCATGAGTCTTCAGTTATGTCTGCATGAGACTGAGGGAGACAAACGAGAGGGGCAAGCAAGTAGTTCCTACGTGCGTGAGAGTCGAATGAATCCTTCAACCGCTCTTGTGTGCAATTTTGAGGAAACGAAAGAGTGACCGTTCAGTTGCGCCGTTTGGGAGTGACCGGTTGCGTGAGTGGGGACAGCTATCAACACTCTACTTCTTCTACTCTAAGTTGCACCTGCACAAACCAGTTAATTCTCTTTCCAACTACCTTACTTCAAATGATGCAACTCCCAATGTCTCTATAATACAATATTCTATCTCTTTTTCTAGTTTTACCACACATTCATCAAACAAATCATCTTTCTCTCACGAAATTTGGTTTTCAAAATCTCGCATATAGGACTTGATACAGTTTTATTAAATTTATTGTTAATTCCCTTTCTATATTCTCTGTAACACGTTGCTCCAAAATAGTTTCCAAAGAAATGAATCAATTAAAAAGAAACTCACTAGCTAGTATTTTATTATTCGTCATTACTAAGATTGCAACGATGGAAATCAAAATGCTCTTTTAAAAACATTTCCCGCATGCAAATCAAGTATAAAGTTATTCAATTTCACATGAAAAGCCCTGGATGCATCAATTAATTACTAAAACTAGAAAAGATGTTGCTTCAGGAACCATACCATATACAACACATCAACAGGTACACGTAACCAATAAAAGAAACTACTGATATTCATAAGCCCCTAATAGAGTCTATCCACAACCCAGTAAGATCTTTGAATTATTAAGGGCATAACTTCCAGGTAATGATAGCAGTACATACCACTCATTATACAAAACTCATAGATGGTCCATTACGTTCATCAGCAAGCATAAAGGATTTACATTTATCAAAAAAGAAAACATAATATAAAGATGAGCAATTGACCTCGAGTCTTTGTTCCGCAGAGTTCCATTCAAACATTGGAAAGTCCACAACCCAAAGAATCGAATGGGAGAGCTAGCAAAAAGGAGAATTAATGCACAGTAAATATATATGAAAATTCTAAATATAAGTTCCAGCTCCACACAACGCCTAACGAAGATTTTTTTTTTAAAAAAAATTGACTACCGTTTTAACATATTTTACCTTTGTCTTATTTTTAGCCGACCCCTACCAAACACTAAAAAATGGTACATTTTCAATCTTCTTCGAAGGACTTTAGTTTCAACGGAAGAAAAAATAATATAATAATTGCAGTGTTGTTAGTTACGGTATATCAATCAGTAAACAAATGACAAATCTGCTTCAATTGGAATTCTACAAAACATTTTATCCACTTTCTTTGTATACCTTCATTAGATTCTTACCAACAATTAACAAAATAAGTACCAATGGATATTCTTAGCCACTAGCTTTCATAAATACTATTTTAGTTCCAAGAAATTCATTTATAAGTACAAACAATAAGCATCTGGTTAGCATGATAGTTTGTATTCAGGACACACCATTAAATATTGAAACACAGGGACTTACTTACAGTCTTGCATGCATATTAACAGATTCTTTAAAAAAAAAACAGAACCAGAAGAATTTTAATTTAGAAAGGGCATTACATACGTTCAACTAAATAGTTAATTTTGTTGAATTATTTATCATCAATAGAAAATTTTACCAAGTATTATGGATCAAGGTACGTAAGTGAAAATCAAGCATTTTAGTTAACAAATTAGCATAATGAATGGAATGTTCAAATTCAAAGACATACAGTATCAATCAACCCCAACTCATTGGCTACAAACAATCTGAGCCTGTCAAGGATTTTGTTCACAGCTGCTTGGTGGCCCACCGCAAACAGAATTAGATCTCCAGCCTTTGCTGAAAGAAGTCTCATCAATTGCTCCTTTTTTACAGGTTCGAGACTTGAAACCAAAGCAGGAATGCCATCAAGCTCTCCTATATAATATCAGCAGAAAAGAATAACCAACAATACTAAGAAACCAGCAAAAACTTAAAGCACAATGGTAGTAATAACATGAAATCAACTAGCAGAAGGTAATGCATATACCATTATCAAGGACCTTGAGGAAAGGCAAACCTTTAGCTCCAGCCTTTGTTGCCTCATTATATATATTACCCTTTCTAAGAGCTGTGTTCGAAAATTTTTCCGCACCTGAAGGCACGCATATTGCTTTGATAACCTCACCATTTGTTACAGATTCCACAAAAACTTGAAAATTACACCCTACAAAAATGTCTGTAACCTGCATTTCCCAGAAAAAGTTCTAATCAATGGCTTTTTTCTAAAATAAAATTAATGCTACTCCCATCAATACAACAACAACACTTAACTTAGTATTATGCTTCTCTTTTAATGGCCAACATTCGGCACCATAAAGCATTGCAGGCCTCACTACAATCTTATAGAATTTTCCCTTAAGTTTAAGGGGGTACATTTCTATCACATAACAAGCCTGATGCATTCCTCCACTTCAACCATCCAACTTGAATTCTGCTGATAATATCTCCATCTATTTCACCATCACTCTGAACAATAGATCCAAGATATCTAAAATGTGTACTCTTATTAATGACTTGATCGCCCAAAGTCACAATCCCCTCACTAGGTCTATTACTACTAAAATTACACTCCATATATTTTGTTTTAGATCCACTCAAGCGAAAACCTTTAGACTCTAAGATTGACCTCCATAATTCGAGTTTACCTTCAACTCCCTCTCTAGCTACTCCCTTCAATATAGGACATTAATGTCAATTCAAGCTCTTATATGAAAAAAGTTTCCCATAAGAATGGCATCAATAATGCGACAAATATGATATTGTAAAAATTTTTACTATCGGGATTAAATGAGGATTTATTATTGTTTCTTTTTGTTTAACTAATTTAGACTAACTTGCCAAGAATTAAGGTTTGCTTTTTACACCCATTCTCTTTATCATGGCCAAAATGGTCATAACTGGTGCAAGAAGAATTAATTTTCAAAAGTTATTTCAGACTCGTCCTCACTAAGGTTCAACACAAGGAAGGCCAAAAAGACCAAGAAGAATTAACTAATTTGGATTTGTGAGAGCCATGGCACCCATAGGCGATTTGACCCTTTAAGAACTCAAATTATTTGGGGAGTGTTTATTCCCATAGGAAAGGTTGATTTAACACTCGAAGAAGATAAATACAAATAAAAATAATTGATTTAACACTATACTTATTAATATTACAAAAATATTTCATAATTTTTAAATTTTTAATTGCCTTGATTTCCAATTTTTAGATTGATTATCAATAAAATAATTATGTGTAAATATCTTATCAAAGTGGTCACATGCTTAAATTATAATTATATAATTTAGACTCATTTTTAGTATGTTTATTTGAGCCTAAAGTTTCTATTTAATCCAATAAATATGATTAACATTTAATGTTAACTATTCGATTATAATCATTATTTTTAGCAAAAGAATTTGAGGTTGATTGCTATTTCATTTAATTCATTGATTTGTTTACATAAATTTTCATATAGAAAACCATATATTAAGCTAATAAAATCATTCAATTACGAATAAAATAAAATTTTTAATTTATTAATAACCCCTGACTATTCATCTATGTTGCACCGATACGGATACAGCGACACGGATACGACATGATACAGATACGGGACACGTCAATTCTTTAAAATAAATGATAAAGGGTACGGCGCGTATATGGCATTATAATATATAAATCATACATAAAAATAAGGAAAGTAATCAAAACGTAATATTTGAAATGACAAAAAAATGAAAGCAACATCATTTGTAGCATTGTAGCTTATAATATCAAAATTAAAGTAAGTACTAAATGTCTAGTACAACAACAAAAACAAAAACAAAAACATAAATTGTCTAGCAAATGAAGTTTCAACTATTCAATAGAAGGATTGATAGGACTAGCTTCTTCAGTGGTTTGTCTTTGAACTTCTATATCATCTTCAATAAATATCATAGCTTCTAATGCAGGCTTATCAAGTGAAAGATTAGCAATTTCTAATATTCTCAATTCCTCCACCACTAGAGCTCATTATCCTACGAAGGATCAACACAAAATATATGTTCAATAGTTAGAACTCCAAAAAAGGGAGTCATTGGATATTTGAAACTACAATTTTTTATCAAAACAATCAAGTTCAATTTGTTGCATCTAGGCGTAGTAATATGTGAATGTCATCTCTATAACATTAAACCACATGAATTTGAAACATGAACCAAATTCATATGGAAGTGAATTAATCTTTTGGTTTTCAAAAATGAGAAGAAAGCAGTTCATTAAATATTGTTCCTCTCTGTATTTTCATGTGGAAGTGAACTAATCTTTGATTTTCAGAAATGAGAAGAGAGCAGTTCATTAAATATTATTCATGTCCGCATTTTTATATGGAAGTGAGCTAATCTTCGATTTTCAGAAATGAGAAGAGAGCAGTTCATTAAATCTTGTTCCTCTCTGCATTTTTCATGTGGAAGTAAATTAATCTTTGGTTTTCAGAAATGAGAAGAGAGTAGTTTATTAAATATTGTTCCTCTCTGCATTTTCACGTGAAAGTGAACTAATATTTGGTTTTCAGAAATGATGAGAGAGCATTATATTAAATACTATTCCTCCCTGTATTTTCATATGGAAGTGAACTAATTTTTTGTTTTCAAACATGAGAAGAGAGTACATTAAATATTGTTCCTCTTTGTATTTTCATGTGGAAGTGAACTAATCTTTGGTTTTCAGAAATGAGAGAGATACATAAAACTTAAAAAAATCTCTACAGAAATATAAAAGCTCTCAAAAAATTTTCTACATAAAGGAAGACGAAGAAAAAGAAACTTCCCGTACCCGTCGGTTTCAATGCTTGCGTCGTCGAGCCGCTCCGTCGACAAAGGAGGGTCTCGTCGCCTTCAATGCTCGCGTCGTTGAGCCACTCCTTCGACTACAACGAAGAAGCGTGTGGAGAAACCCTAGCTCGTGAAATGAGTAAGGCGCGAAAATGAATGGGCATATCGAGCGGGTAGCGGAAATGAATTGGGCAAAGCAAGCAAATCCATCATTTTTTTCGTTTTTTAAAAGGACACGCGTATCCGATATGTGTGTCATGTCAAATTTAAATTCTATTTTAATTGGACATGACACGTATCCGACCGTATTGGAGGCGTATCCGTATCCGACACGTGTCTGATACAACATGCCTCGTAAAATGGAGTATCGGTGCTACATGGCTATTCATATATGGCAAACATAATTCCCGAGTATCACATTTCTCTAATTTAGTTCATTAACTGCACAAAATTGATCTAAAATGATCTCTTATATAGAAATTGTGATACAAAATTGATTTTTGTTTAGTCCCTCCGCCATACAAAAATCATCCTAATCCAATCCCTAAGGAACCATGTTTAATCAATTATATATAGGAAGCTAAATTAAATAAATATAATACACGAATACTTGAATGGATATTTTGGAATCTAAACCATATTTTGAAGTAAATTGGTAATTTGGGAAAAAATTCATGGGAAAAAATTGAAGTTTTGGGTTGGTTTTGATCTCCATTCATCACCTATATATGTTAGATATTCTAATGCTTAAAAGATAGATCATTTCACTCAAAATAAAAGAACAAAATATTGGAAAAGAATTTATGCTAAAAAGTTGCATCATCTTAGAGATAAAATTATGTGTTCATCCCCATCATCACTCCTAGAGTCAAATCACAACTTTCTCTCTCAATCTCTTTAGTTTGTTTTGTTGATTACTCTTGTACTATTTGCAATCACTCCTAAATATTTTTTATATGTATTATTAGTCAAAGCCTTATTCATCGCAAAAGTCTTGGAAGGTTTTCCTTGTGTTTCTAAGCTTTGTCTTAGGCACACTTGCCTATAATCTAAATTAAAGTACAACCTTCTATTTGTAGAATGGAGTTGTGTCGGTCTCTTCACTTGATTTACATGATTATGATGATTTGAAAGATATGAGATTCTGTACCATCATTATAGTGTTATTTTTAGATTGAATTTTATATTGTCACACTCTCTTAACATTGCATCATTATCATCATCATAATACTTTGTGTAAGTTAATTAAATCATTCTTCATATGTTTGCAATGCGATTCTCATGTCAATATTCACATGCTATTAAAATAAGAGCGATCATCTCATGAAAAATCTGTCTTCCTCTGCCTCTATCACTCACACTACTAAAGCTCATTACAATCAAAATATTTAACAGAAAACTCCTCTGAAGAAAGTAATTTTCCCTACCAAACAAACTAACAGCTTTTACCATAAAAAATCACACAGAAACTACCATCAGAAAGGTCAGATGCACAATTTGGAACTCACAGTTTTTAGTTCAAGGCTAAACCGGAGGTCTGGCCGATCAGTCCCATACAGATTCATAGCCTCCACATAAGTTATCCTTGGGAAAGGGTTTGGAAGTTCTATTCCAATCATCTCATGAAAAACCTGTCAAAACAAGGTTTGCAATGAAGAATTATATTTAAGGCAACAATAAATAATGAAACTTCAGAGAGAAGAAAAAACTACAACAAGAATAGACATGTCTTATCAGATCTTCATTAAGTTTTAAGATGTCTTCTAATGTTGTGAATGAGAGCTCCATGTCAAGTTGTGTAAACTCGGGTTGCCTATCAGCTCTAAGGTCCTCATCTCGAAAGCATCTGCATAAAAAAGAACCATTAGTTGTAGCAATATTCCTATGGAATACCCATGCTTTCTAAAGAAATCCATTTTTTGCTGTTAAAACAATAAAGGTGAATCCCAATCTCCGTAAAAGATGCAAAGGGTTCGATTGTTCTTAACTTTTCCCATGCAAGGCTACAGATCTAATTGCTGCCTCAACATTTTCTTTAAGTTATAAAATCATACCTGCCCAACCCAAATAGTTCAGATAAAGCCAATGCTGCCAAGTAACGCTAAGTTGCAGAGACAAGTCAAAAATCAAAACCGAAGTCTTGTTAGCAGGATGCAGATTAGATCTAGTGCATTATAGGCCATTTATAACTGATGTTGGGTTGATCAAAGTTAAGATTGATTCGATTAAAACAATGGTATTAAGAGCTTCACTAATACACGATTCACCATATGACTGCCATTTTGCACCACTTAAGTCAGAAGCCAACACTAATAAACAGAGCCACCGCTAACAGCTCAACTGAGTCTTTCAGCTTGAATCCTCGATACATTGTGCCAGAATGGACAACACAGGCAATGGAAGTCACAATAACAAAATTACGACAGCTATCATCACAATTATCTTCAGCAACCTAATCCAACTTGTTAGAGGGTCAGCTTGTTGTATCCATATTCACCATTCATTTTGCGAGGAGATGCATTTAATGCTAATCCTAGTTGAACCAAAACTTCTTTGAAGAACATTCTGACCGCTAATACTTTCCCATGCAAGCCTCTAACTCCCATCTAATTGGTGCTTCCAATTTTTTGGTATGGTTGAAGTGTCAAAACATCTCAATATATTCTGTAGCACCCTTTCCAAGATATAACTTGGTCTCTAAAGCAGTCAACTTGCCCTTATCTTTCCACATTACCACTCGTTCATCTTAGCATGCACATATAAATTGTGTAGGCAGAAGCTTTGCGCAATCGAAAGAGGAAAGGAAAGGAAGCGACTATAGTAGGAGCAAGAGTGGAAGCGTGACAGTTATCGAGATGAAATGAAATTCCTTTATAAGAGAGGTCAGCAGAGCTTGATTTGAATGATCTACCCAGTTCTTTTCTGCAATTGCTATCCCAAGGTAACATAGAAAGGAAGGGATGAAGCAGAAGAAATTGTAGTGATAAGTCAAATAAATGGTGCAACACATTGACCGGTTCAAGTTTGAGGAGGCTGTTTTATGAAAGGCAGCATTGCCGTGAGCAAAGATCATGCCCTACATCCTCCTAGACTTTGAAACCAGAATAGCACAAAGAAAACAAAGCAAGCAATGTTAAATAGATATGTAAAGGACAAAATTACTAGGACAGTAATTCTATTCCAATTACAAATTTTAATTAGTTAATGAGCAATATTTTTTTAACTACTATTTAATTGTCTAGACACTCAATCATACTAGATATTTGAATAGTTTGGCTTTTTATCATTTCAAAGTTCAATAGAAAAAAAAAAAAAAAAGGATTGGGTTATTAAACCTGCCTGAACATCGAGTTGTGACCAAACTTTTCGATCAAGCTGACTATATTGGAGCAATTTAAAACATAGCCAAACAATGGGCCCGTTTCAGCTAGGTCAATGGTCGCAGTGCAGGTGACTGAAAAGGCTGATAAACCTTCTCTGACAACTAATACAGTAAACTAATTGATGTAGGAAGTCTTAGGGTCTAGAGTTATCCTAATATAAATTTAGGATGGGATGCATAAGAGAACACACAAAAGAGCAGTCCAACTCTAGATAAAACCAAAACATCATCTTTTTTTTTGGTAGATCAAAAAACATGTAAACTCACACCGGAAGTAAATTAATGACAGTCTAAAACATAAATTTTGCAAGAAATATGAAATTAAAATAAAAATCAATAGAACTCATAGCACAAGGAAAACAAGATTGTAACAGATTTAACAAAATCTTAATCACATAAGAAAAACAACAAATAAAAAAAGAGCAAAGAAAGACAAACAAGCCTTAAGATGATTCAAGGGGGAAAAAAGGCTTCTCCATGACAATTGTCGTCAATAAGACACTTGAAAATTTCACATCCAACTAGCACACAAGTTTGAGAGGACATACGAATTTTATTGATCCATTGAATGTATTCTACATACATCATTGGTCTTATTTATTATTTAAAAAACAAAATTGATATTTTTCTCAAAATTCCAAAAATCTTGTCTACAACAGCAGTTTTAATTCCAGCAAAAAGAGCAAGTTCATTGAACGAGCAACATCTTAGCTCCAATAGTCATCTAAAGGGGAATAAAGAAGATATCTTTCCGAATCCCTCTTTACATGCATGCAATTAGCATACATAAGTAAGTGATCTTCAATCATTCTACTTTAAATGCATCCTTAAATCCACATATACTATCGGGAAAAAGGATTTAAAAAATAGCATCATTAAAGGCACTGCTTGGCATCATTTATTATTTCTTTTTTTTTTAATATGAAAAAAGAGAATAAAATATGTAAAGTAATTTTATTTTTATTTTTAAAAATTAATTAAATGGCTTTGAAAAACAATCAATAAGTTCTAGGAGTACTTACAGTTTTCAAAACATGTTTTTTACCAACCCTGCGCAGAACCCAATCATGAATTACACAAGAATGAGCTCCTTGGGCTTACTAATTCGCCAAGGTCATAGAAACTAGATGATCTAGTTGAAAGATCCAAAGCACGAAATTTAGTGATGAGATGATGAAAACTAAATGGCCGAAGACACGTAAGCCAACATAAGATGATGAAAAACAGGTTGATCGGCTTAGTCAAGGTCTCCTTCACCAGTTGCCTATTATATTTCCTAGCGACGAGCCTCTGCACTTCAAGTGGTGATTAGAGTGTCCTTCGCTATGTTAATGGTGTCAACGACGTAAAGGAAGCCAAACAAGATGGTGTGTAGCTGGAATATTAAGAAGATAACAATCAAGCTCATGTCTTTGGTAGGGCTCAAGGTATGCCAAGATGCATCTTTTAGATTTTGGAAGCTTGTATTTAAGAGAGAGTGAAAACTTGTTTTTAAAAATAATAAAAAGGAATAACAAACAAGTTTATATTTAAATTTAGAAAAGAAATAAATTAAATTAAAATCAAAAAATAAAAAAAATAAAAAATGATGTCAAACAGGACATAAGCAAACAAGAATTTGCATACCATCTATTCCCTTACTAATTATTTTGAAGACAAAACTATGAAATGGAGTAAGAAGTGCATGTAATTTAAACAAGCTGATGTACAATGCAATTACCTTGCTATTTGAAAATATCTCTTGAATCCCCCGATCATGCACATTTGTTTAAACAATTGTGGGCTTTGAGGTAGTGCATAAAACATTCCTGGCTTCAAGAGCAATGATTAAAAAAAAAAAACTAAGAGAAAGAAATGTTCAAAACTTGTAATAGAGGAGTAATTAGCATAATATTTCTAAAGTAAAAAAATATATATTTGGTTGGATAAGCTTGAAGATATAAACAAAAACATAAAGAGACACCCAAAATGGTGTAATGCTTTCGTCAATAATATAAAAACATCCTATATGAGCAGCATGTGTGTTCTCAACTACCCTACCAAAACAATGCAAATCACAACATTGATTAAAAAATTCACAACTAAATGCTACTCATTTAAATAATTTCATGAAGAAATATTTATAATCTATTATCAACCTGTAAACTTCAAGTTGTCGCTAGGATAAACACACAACCACTTTTTAACATGAGATTTAAAAAAAACAACAATAAGAAAATGATTGACAACAATAAGAAAATGATTGACAAATTATTATAACCACATAAGATAGACAGAGATTTACCTGAACACGAGATGGCACTAGATAATCTCGAGCACCTTCAGGTGTGGATTTAGACAAGATTGGAGTCTCAAGCTATCAAGAAATCACTTCTAAGATATTTAGTTTAAAATGTCAAAATAATAATAATAATAATAATGCAATAGTAGGTGTTGTTAAAAATTGATTAGATGGGATCTATCTCAGCAATATAGTGTTTTTAGTGTTGGCGCAGCCTAATTCAATTGTCAAAAATCAACCATAAAAAGACAAATCTGACAAGAAGGATGACAAGAAGAGTTAACACAATCATGTTGTGAATGACCCTAAATTTGCTTAGTTTTTTATGTATTTATCCTTCTTTTTTTAGTTTATTTGAATGTGACAATAAAAGAAATTTGATCCTTGTGATTTTATTCTGTATATAGAATTCAAACCTAGGATATGATGATTAGATTATTGAAAGCAATTTGGTGAGTTTCGGCTATGCTCACCAATTGATCCAAGTTGTATTTAAGGATCATTCTAAGTTGTGTACAAGAGCCTTGTTTTCCCTTTCCTCTCCCTTTCAATTCAAGGATACATCGAGGACCTATTTCAATTTGTTCTTTAAATTGTTATTTCGTCTTAGAGAGTTCTCAAATGTGCAAATCCTCATCTATTACTTCCCAAAAAAGTCCCTTGACTTAGCTTCTCATTCTTTGATCCAATAGGACAAGTTAGAAGAATCTCGATTCACCCTAAATCACATACAAGGGAAATGCACATCAAATGATGTAGGACTATATGTATTAGCAAATGCAATCGATTGAAAAATTACACAAACAAGAATAGAGCTTTGCAATTAATTAACTTCACGTGTTTCTTAGCAAAGTTTTAAGCCAACAAATTGGTGGTTAAGCTTAGGCAATCAATTACACAATAAAATATTAGAATCATAAGACAATCATATCAAATTACACCATGCGAATGTAGGGTTTTCAAAAGGAATCCCTATTTTAACAATTAGAATAGTCAATATGGTAATCCTTTCACTTACACTCTTAATTTGGACTGTGCGGATAGATCTTCAGGATTAAAAGGTTCGAGGAAGGAAGAGAGTGTAACCAAGAGTAGGAGATACGAACAACGGCGACGATGTAGGGTTGCTTCTGAAGGAAGGACATCAATACGAAGCCTTCTCACAAGTATGGACAGCAAAGTAGTGTGTTCTGGATGGCGGGATAGCAAGTGAAGGCGTGTTGGACATCTGGACAGCCAACTCAAATGTTCTGGACAGCAGGACAGCAAGCTACTAGATGCTGGAATTTCTGAACAATAAGTTGACTGATTCTTGAATGCAGGACAACAGTCTTGTGAGGTTGACATGTAGTAATTGATGCTAGGAGGAAGAAAATAGGCCTCTTATCATGGGAGATTTGGGACAGAAGTTAGTAATTTTAGAAGAGGGGAGAAAGAGGCAAGAGAGGGGGGGTGGGCTAGCATTGATTGGGGAGATGGGTTGGCACTTTAATAGAGTTTCCAATAAAGGATTCTTAAATGAGGAAATAAGATTTATATCAAATCTCCAAATATGAGATTTATTTGGAGAAATTGATGGAGTGAAACAATTAAGAAAAGAAATAAAAGGGGAAAGGGGACGAGGGAGGGAGCCGGCCCCTTGAATGGGGGGATTTGATTGAGGCCCAACTTGGAAAAGAGCTAAATATACGGAGGGATTTCCAATCTTAGTAAATTTAATTAGGAAAGAGATTTAATGCAAATCTCTTCCTGATTTTAATTCAAATTCAAATTGGATTGACTGGAGGATCCTTCCTAATATAACTCATTCTAATTTTGGAAAGGAAATTCAAATTTAAATAGGCTCAAATTTGAATTTAATTGACTTTCCAAATTTACTAGGAGATGAATTAGGGAAGTAGTGATCGTTAGGTTGAAACTTTGAAGCCAAGTGGGGAATTGAAGGGGCAGGCGGCTAGAAGGGGATGTGGGGTGGGCGGCAGCTGGATGAGAGAGATGGATGGCCGACAGGTAGGTGGGGGTTGGCCTAGGGTTTAGGATGGGGTTCGGCCAAGGGAGAAGAGGGGAGGGTAGAGTTGGCCTAGGGTTTTGGTGTGGGATTTCGGTTCGGCCAAGGGAGAAGAGGGGAGGGTAGAGTTGGCCTAGGGTTTTGGTGTGGGATTTCGGCCGTGGAGGGGGGGTGGCGGCTAGGGAAAGAAGAAGAATAAGTTGGTGGAGGAGGTAGCCATGAGCTCGGAAGCTTCCTGCAGCTGATGGGTAATACTTTGCCCGACCTAGGGACTTCCACTCTCACAACTCTCCATGAACACAAGTGCTGAAATTTTTTTTTATTATCATCATAGTCCTCTCAAAGGAGGGAAAGGGGCTATAAATAGCAACAATATAATAACATTTCTAAAGACAAAAGTACCCCCTAGGGTCAAATAAACCTACTCCCTCAAGTGAGGGTAAAAACGGAAAAGATACGTAAATAAATCAAATGCAAATAATAGATCAAAAATAAAGTGGCCGTCGATCTCTGGTTCATTCTCTGATAAACTTTCCATAGTTGGATGTCATCATCATCAAACCATTAAAAAAATTCTTTAAATTCACTTTCTCCTAAAAGTGAATCAACTTATCTAGCTTAAACATTACTTAAAAGAGTAAAATATTTATTAAGTGCAACATTATTAATGTTGAGGAATTCCTCTTCAAAACCCTAAATATACTTGATAAAAACTTCAGATAGTTAATCTCGGTATTTAATAATTAATGATATTCTATAAGTCTGTCACCTAGCAAGCTCGCTATCATTAACCATGCAAAAACTCTAAGGCAACATTGCATTGCCCATCATCAAATGTAATCTCAATAATCCAGATATCAAGTAAAAATCATTTTGTAGATAAAAATAAGCAGATAATAAGATACCTCAACAAATTTATGCTTCTTTAGAAAAGATCGAATGCTCTCAATCACGTTATACCGCATTCGCAGGTTGAACTGCATCTGTGGCCGTCGCAGATCTAGGGCTCGATATCTAGAAATGATTTACAACTTATTTTTATAATTTGCGGAAAAATAATACACAAAACTCATCCAATTTAAAGATAGCAAGAGAATCAAATCATAAGGGCAGGAAATTTTTTTAAAAGCAAGGAAAACATAGTCTTTATGTAGCATAGCAATTGATACAACAGTACATGGAAAAGAGACTCATAAAATCTAGAAGGAAAAAAAATCCACACATTCTCATGTTTTACTCTACCAAGAAAAGAAATTATTTATTTAGGATAAAGGCATCTAGAATCCTCAAAATTAAAGTTGTTAACGATAGGCTCCCTCTACTATCAAAATTTCTCCATTGGTCCTCAAGCCTCTAATAAGTTTCATACAGATAATTAAATTTATTAAAAAAGTGAAACAATCCTTATTGAAAGGTTTTGTATGACACTTTTATAGCAAATAATTCCATGTGGGCCCTTCACCTTTCTTTTCTTTTCCACTAACGTGAACCTCAATCTTAAAAGGCAGAGGGTAGATACCACCAAATGCCACCTCTCAGATTTGAAGGGGAAAAGTGGTGAAGAAAAAAAAAAGAATGTTAAAAAAACCTATGTGAAATAATTCCTGAGAAAAGAGCCGATATGAATTTATTAGAATTTTTTAATTAAATTAAAAAAGGCCAAATAGTCCCTGGTTCGAATATAAAAGCACTGGAACAAATTTGACCGTTTATGAAATAATAAATTGATTGACATCTACAAAACATGAATAGCTTAATGTGTAGATGAATGAAAGTTTTTTTTTTTTTTTAATTTTAGGTGTGATACTTTGTTCTACTGATAAAATTGGGAAAGCATGTTAGGTTCTGTTAGACCGGTTCATTGTGAACCGGTCCAGAACCAGCCGGCCCAAAGGGGGCCGCTGGTCTATAGGAGGCGGAGACTTCCGCATCCTCTGCTTGGCTCGCCTAATGGGGCAGGCCCCACTATTCCAATTGATTGAAAATTCAAATGGAGTGGGGAGACTAGGATTTGGGAGGGAAATTAAAATAGGAAAGATCTTGCATTAAAGGGGATGAGGGAATTAGGGAGTTTCATGTTTTGATTGATTGCAATTAGGGTTTCATGGAGGCTTGGGCTCTAGACAATCTTATCTATAGATTTGGAAGAGACGGTCCTCTTCTCGAATTGAGGATCTCTTGTATCTTTGCTTTGTTCTTGTTTCCCATTGATTGTTATAAGATTTTGCTATCGTTTGTTTGTTCTTCCGCCTCGATTCTTTCGTTTTCTCGCTGTTTTACTAATTATTGACTAGGTTTGCTTGCGAACTCAAGTAAATCCGATAGGATTGCTTGCGAACTCAAGAATTTCCTATCAAATTCAAGCATTAAGAATTCAATAAAGCTTACCATAACAAATAAGTGGATCAATCATGTTCATAATTCATGGATGCATGTTTCGTGATCCATGTGTCCAATTTCAAAGCAAACAAAATGATGTCGACTCAAAATCCAAGTTTAAATAATATAAAAAAATAAAAGTAAAATTGGAATTTTGAATTCAACCATATGCTGATTACCTTATTCTCAAAGGATTTCATTTCATGGAAGCAAGCAAAATGTAACTAAACACCATGATGTTGACTCAAAATCCAACTTGAGATAATATAAAAAATTAATGTAAATATGGAACTTTGCATTCAACCATATGTTGATTGCTTAATTCTCTAAGGATTTTATTTGATGAAGCATGCATACATACACATACACAACGTTGGAGCAGATGAGCACAGGAACTCACATACATATATGTCTGTGTGTGTGTGCAAGAGATATTGAGTTACTAATCTTGAAGCCTTGAAATTACAGACCAAATAGTCCCTGGTTCGAATATAAAAGCACTGGAACAAATTAGGCTGTTTATGAAATAATAAATTGATTGGCCTCTACAAAACATGAACAACTTAATGTGTAGATGTATGAAAGTTTTGTTTTTTGTTTTTTTTTTTAGGTGTGATACTTTGTTCTACTGATAAAACTGGGAAAGCATGTTAGATTCACGCATTAAGAATTCAACATAGCTTACCATAACAAATAAGTGGCTCGACCATATTCATGGATGCATGTGTCATGATCCATGTGTTCCATTTCAAAGCTAGCAATATGTAACTGAACAAAATGATATCGACTCATAATCGAAGTTTAAATAATATAAAAAATTAAAGTAAAATTGGAATTTTGAATTCAACCATATGCTGATTACCTTATTCTCAAAGGATTTCATTTCATAGAAGCAAGCAAAATGTAACTGAACAAAATGATGTTGACTCAAAATCCAACTTGAGATAATATAAAAAATTAATGTAAATTTGGAACTTTGCATTCAACCATATGCTGATTGCCTAATTCTCTAAGGATATTATTTGATGAACCATGCATACATACACATACACAATGTGGGAGCAGATTCTCACAGGAACTCACATAAATAAATATATATATATATATATATATATGCACGCGCGTGCGCGCGGGCGCTCAAGAGAGAGGAAAGTATATACATCAATCATTGTTCTTCACTCTTAGTATCCATGGGCTGCACTAAAGAATCACTCAAAATTCAAGGTGCAGTAATAAGCCAAAGCCAACCACATGATACCATCACAAATGCAGGCACATTTGTACTTGTCGAATCTAGGATATAGTGACTGATTTTCGCTGAAAATATTTAAGTTAAACAAAATTTCACTTCATTTTCACACAAAAAACAAGTTTTTGAAAAACAAATAAAGCTCAGCAAGCAAGCCTGCTTTAAGAACTTCCATTTGATCAAGTTTTAAGGAATCAAGTAACAAAGAATCAAGGACTCAAGGTTAAATGATCTAAGAGTTATAGATGCAGGGATACAAGAGAGAAGTTGACAAGTCAAAAAAGTTTATTCTCATTCCTTCTCAGTTGCTGGAATTTCCTATCAAATAGCGGCAATTTCTGTGTACCAACAGTAACTTCACTGTTTGATCAAATTTTAACCGAGCAAACCTCCCTAGAGTGGAATCTTTTATATTGAGGGTTTCCCTGACCTAGTTGGCTCACAATTTCGGTGAATATTGAGAGGGATAGAAGAAGGAGAGGGTCAGCTTGATGCTTCTTAGTGTTGGCCGATAAGTAGAGATAGAGAAAAAGAGAAATGGTGCAAAGAGAAGGATTTAGGAAAATGTGAGTTCTAAATTTTCAAGATTTCAAGCTGCTCTCATTATCAAAAGTCCCTATTTATAATACAAAATAACTACCTGATATCATTAGTTCTCAAAAGCTAAAACAACTTTTGCTAAATTTATACTACTAATCATAAAAGCAAAGAAAGACAAATACAAAGTTATCAAATCAAAGAAAAAAGATAAAAAAAAAACATAAAATTCAAATGAAATTCAAACATACATGGGTTGAATGACCCTTCTGCATCCGTGGTCTGTAAAAATAACTAGACTTACTTCTTTAGGAACAAATATCGTCAGCCTGTTTGACCCAGCAGGTCAAATGGTCAGCTGGCTCTGTAGATAAGCCTGGATCACGGCTACGTCATCTGGCTTCACCACTCTTGTGAATAGTACATAATACGGGAAGAGCCAAATTCCATCTTCCTTCAAAGGCCATCTAAACTATCTTGCAGTTTCTCTTTTGGAAATCTTGAAGGTCAACTAGAACCTATGATGCACCGACACGGACACGGCGACATGAACACGACACGACACGGACACGAGACACGGTATTTTTTAAAAATATAGGATACGGGTGCGGCGTGGACACGATGTAATAATTTTTTAATATAATATATAATAATTTTTAAAAATATAGGACACAGACACGACGTGGACAGATGGCTCTTTTGAACATTCACCTAATCCACTCGCACCAGCAGCAGAGCTCATTTTGCTAACAAACCAATTATACATATGAATACATCAAATTAAATTGATATGAAATGAAATCAAAATATCTCAATAATAAGACAACATGAATACAACAATATACCGATCTGCCGGGGGTCCAAGGGGGCGCTTCCCCCTGGCGGCGTTCAACTTGCCCGGTCATGTCGGGGGGTCAAGGGGCAGCGCCCCTACGGGGGTTTCCAGCGGCAGCGCCCCCAGAACAAAATTTTATTGTAAGAGTAATTTTGAAATTCTGCTTGTTTATAAAGTTCGTAAGTTGTTTGTATGGGAAGATACCGAGTGGTACCAAGCATGTACCTAGCAGTACTGAACATGTACCTAGCAGTACTGAGCGCTACCGAGCATGTACTGAGCGGTACCGAGCATGTACCTAGCGATATCGAGCATGTACTGAGCGGTACCGAGCATGTACCTAGCGATACCGAGCATGTACTGAGCAGTACCGAGCATGTACCTAGCGATACCGAGCATGTACCTAGCGATACCTCATTTAATAACCAGACACGCGTGTCCGATTTTAATTTTAATTTTTTTAATTGCGACACTCCAATGTCGTGTCGGTGTTCAACGCGTGTCCGTGTCCGACACTGCATACCCTCTTTAAGCGGAGTGTCGGTGCATCATAGACTCGAACCAATTTTGTATCGAGTTGGCCTTTATATCTACAAAAAAGTCAATCTAAAATAGGTCACCAAGGCTAATATTGAGATCCTCAAATGTAGGAATCAACCTTTTGTGTTCATCTTCATCTTCCAATCATGAAAATATGGAATGTCAAATTGAATTAGTTTCTCTACATTAATAACAAAGAAAAGCCTCATGTGGAAAGGTTGATCTGACTGAAACGCATTTTCACTAAAATTCTGCAAAACTAAAATGTACCATAATGAATGAGCATGACCTTATTTCTTTGTCGTTCAGTATGTCATTCCTGAAGTGTAACCAAATCAAACATCTTTTTGAAAAGTGGTCAATCTTGTGTTTCCATGGAGAGCCTTATAGTTCTCATATGACTTCCTAAGGCTTCCTTTCAACTCTTGTTGAATCATGAAAATTCCTTCCAAAAATCAATGTGCTCATCGTAGC